CAGAACAAACAGATCTCCTGTGGGGTTGACCTGGTTCCATCACTGCAGATTTAGGCACAATTCTCTTACAGGCAAGAAAATACAGTGACTTCATGAGATCATCTTGTGAGTCTTAGTAGTATACCAGATTACATATCCAGTAACTGACAGACAACTGCAAGTTCCGTATTTTAGAGCTTGGAGACCAGCCCTCCCATATTGTATTTGTTGTGGTTTGGGTCGTTTTTTTTTTTTAAAACATACCAAACACCTACACCATACTTGATGTCTAGACGTCTGTCCTCATGGAGGGCCACATAGTGGTATGCCATATGTTGTGGAACAGTTTGTCTTTCTCAGTGAAAATAACTTCAGCTTCCCACTTCATACAATACGTTGGCCAGCCAAGTGTTTGATGCTGGTTTCACATCATGACTTTTGCACGAATGCATTCAGACTGACACCCAGGGGCTTGCACCATGTACAGCTGTGCATTACAGATGCCTTAAGAAAGTGAGGAATCAGAAAAGACTTCTTCCCTCTGGCGTTTAAAACCAGGAGTCCAAATACTAATCAGGGCAAATACCTACAACAGATTAAGGTGCAGTGAGGAGGGGTTTAGTCATTAAGGATTCCAGCTCTCAAGAAGACTCAATTTGTCAGTGATTAACTGAGGGGAGGAATAGGTAAGGAAGGGCATCACTGCTGAAATAGGCGTTAAACTATCAGGACTCCTTGTTACTCCTTCAGGTCAAGCCACTCCATCACAGGGGTCTCACACCTGAGCTGCTGGGTAATCTGCCAATTTAATGATGAGCTAGCTGGTTGGTTTACAATTCTCAAATTGACAAACATTACCACCTAAAGGGGATGGGGCAGGGAGGGCAGGGATGTGAGGAGAATTAGGCAGTTAAATAACTATTCTGAACAGCAGTTCAAATCTGTTCAGCTTCATTGACTGGCTCTGAGCCACAGCCACGGGATACAGAAGAATTTCCAACTGCATTATGTCACTGACCATTGTTGAATTCTCTATCTAGAGAGGCCATTTAGCCAGTAGAAAGAAACCCCCAAACCTCTCCCTTACCTCATTGTCCATGGGAATGAAGAAAAAAACACTTAGATTCCTATTTTGCTACTTGAGTTCAGGGACAACATGATGACAGTTATGACCTTTGTGATTCTATAATGCATTCACTGAATGACTGCTACCACCAGATCCCAGTCTCAAGCTGCTGTGGACACAGCAGCATATACAGTCCTCGCCTAAAACAGAGTCAAATTACATGCAAGCTTTCATCAAAAAAGACACATTTGCTATCCCTTCAGGAAAACAAACAAACCCCACCCAACAATAGAAACCCTACTTTTGTTCACCAAGACAGTACCTGCAGCTGTACCACTGTAGTAAAATTCTAGATCTTTGATTTCTTTTGCTTAAAAGCAGTAGCTGTTTGAATAAATAGATTTCAGGAGTCCAGAAAAGCAGTTTGCTGAATGGGTGCTCTAGCATACTGTAATTGTGCTCAAATTAAGGGACCTTTCCATATGTAAATCCTTTCCAAACAGAAGTAGGTCACGAATATCTTCAGCCCTGAAAAGCATTTCAGTCAGCCATGCAGAAGAGAAATTACACTTAGCTTCAGTTAACCTGTAGAGCTGACACAGCCCTTCATGGCATCTGCACTGCCAAGTCAGGCTCATGAGCTCCCTCCCAGCTGTGGTGCACAAATCAGGAAACAGCACCTGCTGCTGCAGACAGAACTGCGGCCTCCTCCATGGTATTCCTCACAGCACGGTTCATCTCTACTCCAAGACCACCACATCAAGTAAGACTTAAACACCAAAGTAATACAAAGCACCCACCTCTGGTCCATGACAGCAGGGAAAGCTAAGGGGACTTCCAGTTGTAGTGTAGAGGTTTGCTCGTCTCAACCTCTGAAGTGCAACAGCCGAGCAGATACAGACAAGACCTACAAGCTGAAGCCTTGCACTCACAACAACAGCAGGCCATAAAGTAGTACAGGTGCAAATGAAGGCAAAACTTGTACACAGAAATGTCATTTCTGGGTGCTAATGATATTAAGGGATAAATTACAACATTGGCCTTATGGTTTAGGAAAGAGTCATTTATAAGAAAAGATTACCAAAATGAAAAAAATTCACAGAATGAATTCTAGAATAAACACCACTCAGACTAGTACCATTCTTCAAACATCCACACTCCTTTTTTTCCCCTTATGTAAAGGGTTTTAATAGTTTTATCATGTTACTTCACTCCTAAGAGCTGTTCCAGAATTTGCAGGCTTACATAGCTTGTGAATTTGCTTCTGCAATAAATGCAAAAATGAAAAATCCGGCTGATAAAAGTAAATAGCAATTAAGTAAACTCACACTGCGTGTCCATCTGCTTAGTGGATGAAAATATGCTCTAGTAACTCTTGACTTTAACAACTATCATGCTCAATGGCAGGAACCTTAATGTAATCTTAAATGAAGCCTCCAACAGTCCATTAGACTAATCTCTGCATTAAGAGACAAAAAACCCTTCAGTGACTCTTCTCACCGTTCAACCCCCAGAGATCTAGATGTAACGCAACTTGGCATTCAATAACTGCAAGTAATCTAATGACTCAGTACACGACAAGTGCAAGAAAAAGCAGGGTTCTCTCAGTAGTGGAACAGGAGTGGGCAGGGAAGGATGCTTGCAGAGTTCACAAGCTGGGACTATGTGCAAGGAGCGAGAGTTTATGGCACTCCTGTCGGGTTTTAAAGTTATTTCAAAATTAATACAGTGCATCTTAGTGTGCCAAATAAAGATATGGTAATTCACAAGGACCATAGCCACCTACCCCCAGTGAAGAGTGATTCTCTGGTTTGTATTTTCTAAGTACAAATCATGTAGGTCTTTCAGAAGTGTCAATTTTTTAAGTGCCTAAAAAATTAAAATTTGTAAAATTACTATTTTTCCACCCCACCAGTTTTGTTTCTAATAGGTTTAACATTTTGTGATGAAAAAAAAAGAAAATTAAAGAGAAAGGCTGAATAATCTCAATGTATTTCTACTATCTGATCTATCACTTAACAGATCAACTTTAGCGTAACAAAATAGTTTTTGAGAAGGAATTTGTTTTGTTTGAGACAGACGTGACAATGGGCATCGACTGCAAACTAGTTACAGGCCTATTACATTTTGGCAATGCTTGTACAGCAGTTCTGCCTTACCATATTTTGGTAACTCTTGCGCAGCTGAAGAAGCTTGAAAAGTGAGAAACATGTACCGACTATGACATTTAAGAACCTTCTCCTCATCATGCAGGAAGCACCTGACACAAGCTTCCCTTCACCAGACAATTCATTGAGATGCAAGAAATCTAACGGGCTTCTATCTACTTAATTTATCTGTGCCCCACTGGCACTTACCAAATTCTCAGGACAAATCCTCAAGAAAACAGCCTCTTAAAACTCCATATTCAGGTGAAATATTGAGTGTATTTCAATTATTGGTAGTAGCATATCCAAAGTAGCCACACAAGCAGTTGACAGCAGGTAGTAACTATTATTCTTATACAAGAGCCCTTTCTGTATTTACAAACAGCTCCACTGAACACCAAATTAGGTGCACACCATGACAACCTGTGCTTTGGAAACATTAGTTTTGAGATAAAACCTACACTTTGAAGAAAGCCTACCAGAAAGCCACTAAGCTGATATAAAGAGGGCCTGAAACCAAAAGCTAGATATTATGAACTGCTTCCATTCACTTCTGAAGGGCATTTTGCTGAAGTAACTTATCAGAAGAATATTCTAAGATCAAACTGAAAGCTCCACTGAGGAAGAATGGAACAAGAGTTCAATCTCTTCCCTCGAAAGCCATTCTGTTTAAGAGGAGAAAGAGATACCCTTCAAAGCTGACAACACAAGAACAAATTTGCACTCCCCAAGATTCTCATGCTCTGAAGCCCATTGGTCCCCTTTACCTTTTTCCCCCCACTACTTAGACAATACAGATGGCTATCAACTCAATCTGATAGCACAGCAAAGGCATAATGTTTGTTAGTTGGGTAGAATGGACATTTAGCAAAATTAGTATTCCAATTTTTTGTTTTGCCTAATTCCAACTGTGTTCTCCCAAGAAAGCATGGTATTATTGAACTCTGGGATCACTGTCACAAGGAACAAACAAGCAGCCTGTCTTACGCATCCCATACAAAACTAAAGCGATTAAACTGAATGGGTTGTTTCCTGTAATACAGACAATTAAACTTAAGGATCATACCACTGCTGACACTTAAAAAACACTGTACGCAGCCACTCAGGCACACACACCTTGAGGTTTCTTCTAAGAGAAATCAGAATGAAGAAAACCAAAATTCCTAATGCAAGAACTACATCATTTGCTTTGCTAACCAAGGTAACTATGGCCCTATTCTCATTGCTGTGAGATGATGTCCAAAATGACAAATTAAGAACAAAGGGTGGCATTTAGGTTTTGTAGGGTCTTGAAAGTTAAAGTTTCAGGAGCCTGGAATTTGTTTCCTATCTCAAGCTTCATGTGGACCCTTGGTATTATATCTTACACATCATTCAAAGAGGCACTTAAAGCTGGGAAATTTTCAGTGATTTTAAGAGGTGTGGCAGTTACTAAATATTTTAGAAAGTCTTAGCATTCTGTAGAGCAGCATTTTCAAGATATTTCTTTGTAATGTATGGCATCTATGAAAGTGAAGTTGGAGCTTCCACGTGGTGTTCTTCTAGGGTGCTTCAGATTAACTTGTAGGAACTTATAACTGAGGAAGTAAAAATACCCGTGTACTAATACAACAGTATGCCAGTAATTCCATTATTTCTGGCAGGTACTTTCAAAACATAGAGCCCACATAGAACACCTTTGCCACTAATCTTTGCTAACCTTCATAAACATTTACATTCTGTACATTTTCAGTGTTTGCAATGGGGGACACTTAAGACATAAGACACTACTGAAATTCAATTCATAGGATTTTCATAAATAAAACCAGTCATCTTTCACCTAATTTATTTAAATTCCAATTTTTTTCCAATTCCAAACAAAAGCTAAATACAAGTTTTAAACAGGTAAGCACTAGTTTTATCCAAAGGGAGCAGGCTTATGCAGTTTTATTCCAGTAAAGTACTCAACCCTTAAGCAGAGCCTTCTTTGTCATCAAAACTATACAGTAGTCTTCCTTTTATAATTGCACAATCTTAAAATGTTCTGCCAGAACCAACTTTTGACACTCCAAACACTATTTTACATTGGTTTATAATGTCTATTCCAAAAGAAAAAAAAAAAAACCTCAATGGGTTTTCCATAAGAAATGTTTTAGAAACCAGTATTTCCTGCACAGTTCACCTGCAAGTTTACAAGTCTCAACTCTCAAGAAAAAATAATCCTCTACCAACATTGTTTCTGCAGCTATTATTTTACCTTTTTTTGAGCTGCTTTAGCAACTTCAGACTCCAGGTCTGCCTCATCTGTATAAATGCATCCAACTCAAAAGAATACCTTCATACAGTTATACAGCAACTTGGGGAAAGAGATCCAAAACAAAAGTGCCAGTAAACTTAGACATGGCCAAGCAAACTAAAAGAGGCAAAAAATGCCTACACATTAAATGAGATGCATTTTTTTTAAAGAAAGATTTCTTTCCCACATTTACGTCCTATTGTAATAGCCACTTTTTCGTTCATTAAAACGAGTGATAGTGCTCTTCGATACAATCATTAATAGCAAAGCTATAAGGCTTTTATACCCGTTACATTCACTTCTCACCCTCCAAATACTGATGGTTAACATTATAGATGTTAGGGGGCATGACCAGCACAAATGGGAACACCACCACAAATGATCACCTTGTGCTTTCGGATACATTTGTTTCAATGTAGAGTCCCTTCATTTCACATTTTAGCAAGATGCTGATGCAGTGCAGAAGTGTGCAGAGCATCCTTTCTTTCACAAGGTCCATGCAGAAAACATCTAAAAAAAAATTGCAAAGTTCTGAGATACAAATGATTAAAAAAATCCAGGATGATCAAGTTTCACAATGTATAGTGTTCTGAACATGAGTCCATTTTCTTCTAAATTCTGAAAGAATAAAGTGGTGAGGAAAGTGAAAATCCACTGCTGCACTCTGTGATCTTCCCCATTTTGCTGGCCAGTATCTTACTCTGGCATGTAAGGACAGAGGTGATCCTCTATGGTACCAACCGTCCAGTGAGTGAGCTGCTCCTGTGGCAGATACAGGCAGATGCTGCATAACTTGAAGATTGTAGCTTTGTTTTTTGGAGTCTAGAGGCAAAGAAAACCCAAAGAAAAGCTATTAAACCTAAAAGTTAACTCAGGACTAACAGGCAGACCCCACAGACATTTAAAATTCACTGTTTCATACATATAAACAGCCTGAACTTAAAATTAGTCTGCAACCTCTAATGAATAAAATGTTTTCGTTATTCTGTTCATTCTTCACTTGAACAATTTCTGTATTATCACCCAAATCAAAACAATGTTTTAATTTTTCCAGAACACTTCTAGGTCTATTTTAGAACTTATTTAATTTTTAATACAAAAACATTAATTCTATGTGAATGCATCTGTGACCCATAGTTAGCTTTTGCACGTATGAATCCTATTTATAGCGTAACTTTCCTCTGAAACTGCCAAAACGCAATCGTGAATGCATGATCCATTTTTCTACTTGAGTATTTTCCAACAGAATCACTGATGTTCCCAAGTAGAAAAGGCTTTTTATGATTAAAACACACTTGTTAAGATGAGGACAAAAGAAGTTTACCTGCAAGTGCTGTCTGTCAATGAAGAGAAACACTGACTGGTTAGGGTTGTTGACAACAATTCCAGTCTTGTCCTTTCGGCTCAGAACATGCAGAAACTGTTTTTCATAGTCACCATGATGAAATTCAAACTTGGCCTACATGGTGTGAGGGAGGGGAATAAAATATTTATTAAGATAAAGCTTGTGCAACCTCTAATTTCCTTCAATCTGGGGCTTAACAACCACTTTAGTTTCTTTCCTTCTCCAATCTATGAAAAGCAGAAATTGGGGACCACAGCAACGACATACTTGAGTCTTGGCACCATTTAAAGAATTCCCTAGTTTCATTCTGCCAACACTGACATTAGCCATTGCAATGACATATTAACAATTCAAAGGTACGACTTTAACTGCAGATATATCACTCAATTTACCTTGTTGTTGTGGCAGAACATCCCTGTGCATCAATTTCTAGGGAAAATTATAATGCAAAGGTTCCATCCATCTCAGACCCTCTTTCATCCAACCAAATACAGCAACTTGGGATACTCACAGAACCTTAATGACACCATCATATTTACACGAAGATTCATTTGTACTAAGAGGCTAATCCACTTCTACAAATACAAACACACTGTGTGCATTTCTACATATACGTCATTTGCAAAGATCCTTCGGAAGCTTAAATTTTGGAAGGACTAATATAACAGTGCATAAAGACAGGAGGCAGAATTTGGCATTCAAAACACTGATTTCTTTATAAATAAAAATAGCATACTTTCTAATACCCACAGAAGTCACATACCTTATCAGCTTATTGGTTAAGGTGAGCACTTATCCTCCCCTCCAGGAGTGAGTTACTTATTGAAGTTAAAAACCAAAACCAAATACCTGAACAGGCCTAAAGGGTTCATCAGATCCCTTCCACCGAGAAAACAGGAGACAGACTATCTTCTCAATATCATTGCGAGGCCATAGAATGAAGTCCATCTCCTGGGTACAGCCGATCACATCCTGTGAATGGCAAAGTTCTGTGTTTATATTCCCTTCATTAATCAAAGACACAGATAAGCAACTTATCTATACAGGCACATAATTTAGAGGTGGTACTTATTACAATGTTTGTGTAATTTTCCATTTGTATTACTCAAAGCACAACTAGTCTTCCTTGCCTTCCACTGAATTTTAGTATCAGTAGCCAGTTAATGTAAATTACAAATTTAAGAAAACATTAGCAAAGACTGTCTACCTTCCAATATTCATAAAGCAAAACCACTTAGTTGTACAACAGGAGTCACTGTAAGAATTATAAACACATGCCTACTAAAGGACAAACAGGACAAGAAGATACAATTCCCAAGGCAAACCTCCGAATGAGACAAATGAAAGGTAAAGCTTAGGCACTATATATTTAAACAGTTTTTAAAACACATATGCTCTTGTTACCCTTCAAATGAGACCCCATAAACACATGGCTGCAGAACCCTCATGTTGCAAATGTGGTGAGAAAATAAAAAAAGGAAAGGATTAGCCTTAAGATTCACAAAGAAAAGCACAAGTGTTGAAAGACTAAGATTCAGCAAGTGTAAAAAGAAGACCTACCCTGCGCATAGACTGGTAGCGGGGTGCATGGAGCTGTACTACATCCTTCTGCAGAAGCTCTAAGGAACTTTCCAAAGAATAGCTGGAATCCCGCACACCTTTCAGGATATTTTCTTCATAATTATTGGTCATGACTGGTATCACTTCAGACACTTCAAAAAGTGCTGACTTTTTCTTCTAAAAAACAATAAAAAAATCACAGATTACATAAAGACTACAATCCTTTCTAAGGCAACTAGAGGTAACACTTTGTTTTGGGATTTGTGATTTTCTGTATAAATGTATAAAGTCCACATCACACAAGTTAGCACTTTGACACAAACCACACTAAAATTTACATGTGAAAATTTATAAATGAATCAGATTAACAACTTTTTATAAAAGTTGAACACATTTTTGTAGTCTCCAAAGATTTGCATACTAATCTTGCAAACATTAAAGCTATATCTAAACACTAACAGAATTTCTGCTTTATCAAGTAGAGTACATGGCTTTGGGCTGACCAAGAGCCCTCTGCAAGGTTCTCTTTGCCAATCAACACCTTTTTTCCCCCCTTTTCAATTTTTTATAGTTGACCTATAATGAAAAGTGAAATCTTTCAATACCACATTTGGTGATAGCAGGTGATTGAGAGCCCATCTGAAGTCAACTATAAACTATAATCCTCTCAAAGGAGGTCTATTTTAATTTGCTAAGTAACTTTTGTACTCACTATAAATATTGCAGTATCTCTCAAGGAAGGCCAAAACATTATGAGAATGTAAAATAAGTTTTTGCTGTACATAAAATCACCTGAAGTTGTATTTCTGTTTCTAACAGCTTTCTTATAGCTCATGAGAAATCTTGAGCTACTTGAGAGCTCCATAACAGACAAAGTATATTTTACCAAACAGTGCTCCACTCCCCCCTCATCAGAACACACACAGCAGGCAACTATTTGCTGACCAAGCTAACCTGAGCTAAACTCCTACTTTAAGCAATCTGGTATGGGATGGACGTCTTCAAGTTCACTATGATATAAGAAAAGAAACTTGCAACAAATTTCTATACAGCAACCCAACAGCTGTATGAATGCTTCAACTAAGAGCGTTAAACTTGTGTCATCTAAGAAAATCTGTTGGTACGGCTTAGACATTCGTATCTGTATTACTGAGTCAGCACCCAGAAATTATATCCAAACATATCCACCTCTGCTTGTACTAGGACTGACAAAGAAAAGCAAATTGAACTCATGAATTTTAAAGATTTTCAAAGCTTTTCAGGAAACAGTCTTCATTAAAAATACATCATTATTGCAGTGAATGCAAAAAAACTATACATTTGAGAGGATTAAACAATTTCAGTCCTCATCTACGTGCAGTTTGTGTATTATGTACTCTGTTGCCATTTCCTTTTATCTCCACTTCCTCGTCATTTTTTCAGCACATTCACTTCCTGAAGCACCTACTTTTCTTCACCGCCTATGGATGGAAACTCTCCTACAATTTTAGGTCTGTAGCTGGCTTTAGAAATATCACCCGGCTCCCCACCTGGATGCACAGCGGTAGAGGCAGCCAAGCAAATGGAAATTTCCTCTGCGCCCTCCCCGCTCCCTTTCAAAATGGTAGCAGCAGTTTCACATGTGCGTGCGCACTTGGGCCACTTCCACATCCCATTTTGCGACTCCTCCCTTCAACTGCCAGGTCTTCCCTTCTGCTTTCACCAGATAAAAGCAGGAACTCGGCAATCGCCCCAGCCAGTTCTCCCTTCACAACTCAGCTCCTCGCAGCGAACAATTGTGAAAGTTAGGGACCAATTAGAGTTAACAAGTTACAGTGTTAACTTTGAAAAATATCTACCCAATACAGAAGTTACCAAGTAACCGTGTAATGATGCACTGGCACCCTCCGCGTTACAAAACTACAGCATACAAAGAGCCAAAATGGCAAACACGAGCTAAGTAAATATTACAGCAATTAGCAATTAAAAAAATAAATGTTAAAAAGTCAATGGAATCTATCCAAGACAAAACATTTGATGCAATCAGACAGCAAGACTTTGCACAGCACACTTAACATGCAACGGACAACACAGAGAGACACATTAAAACCAAGTTACCTTGTCTTTGAACACAAAGGCAACGTACATCTTGAAGTCAAACTGGTCAGCTAAAGATTCTTTTTTCTTTCTAAGCTGAGCACGAAGTCTGTTCAGAGCTTGTTTCTTCCGGGAGTTTGGGTCCCCCATTTTGTAATACAGGTGGTACTAAAGCCTTTGGAAACTGTCGCTAAACTATGGGCACCTTTTCGTAAGACTCAAGTACAACAGAAACAAGTCGTTTGATTCCTGCTAATACGACTGAATAGATCAAACGCTAATGTAACCCAAAACCGCACCTCAGGCAATATTTTAAGAAAATGTCGTATTGGAGGGGTCAGGAAACAAAGTGAGTAGTTGTCCAGCCATGGCTCGACAAGAGGTTTTACAATAAATCAAGAAAAAAACCCGAAGAATTTTAAAGACAAAAATTCGAACAGTTTAGCCGCAGGAATAATGGGGTAAGAATAAAAAAAAAAAAAAAACCAAACCAAAACAAAAAAAACCAAGCCCCAACCAAATCTTATCACAATTTATGTGAACAATAAAAAGCAACTGGCACAAGCCCAATCCATGGGGGGTACTTTTGCTCTGCTTACAAAAAAAAAATCACGAAGCTGAAATCACAAATTGCGTTTTACCCCAGCCAGATTCATGACTCTACTGATTATTATTCTCAGCCTTCCACTATTGCTATGTTGCCCGCCTTTTTCTTTAGAATTATTACACTTGGTGGAGAGCAGAGAAAAGGGTGCAAAGGAAGAGTGCACAACCCGGGAAGTATGACATTTCTCTGCCAACAACAACAAAATCAACTACAGACAACACAGCGCTGGTTCGCAGGGGAGCAAAGAGAAAAGACAGCGGAGTCATTTCTAACTTCATCCTGCTCATCATTGCCCTGAGGCTACTGCTGCCAAAGAGGAGAGGGATCATGATAGCCATTGACAAGGGGCGGATAAGGGTTCAAAGGACAGTATTATCTCACCTAGAGACTAAAACCCGAATCTGTGCCCCAAACCCGGGCTCCCTAACACTGGGAGAGCCCTACATCCCCCGACACCTCATACACTCCCTGGGCTGCTGATCCCCCGGGGATCCTTCTCTCTCTCTCTCTCTGCTGCTGCGAGCACAGTCAGCCGAGGCTGTGCATGGCCGGCGCTCTTGGCTTTCCCTTCGGCCCCTCTCTGCAAACAGGGCGGCAGCGCCCGGGGCGGCGGGACACCCACAGCAGCACCGCGTCTCTCCCCTCTCACTTCATGGCCACGACTCGGAAAACATGGAGTGTTTTTCTGCTCCTGCTTTTCAGTGTAAAAATTTTTTCCGAGGTTTGTTCAATTGCAAATCTGCGTTGCAATTTTAAACCTCTAAAATACCCTCCCCCCTCTTAAAAAAAAAAAAAAAAAAAAAAAGCAAATCCCCAATTATCAGGTTATTTTCTTCCTCTCTCCAGACATTTTTTTTTCCCCCACCACAGGTGTTTGATTAGTTGGGGTTAAAAAGTTTTTAGGTTAGCAAATTCGTGGGACCAGGTTAAGAAGAGGAGGGGGGAAAAAGTATTCCCCTCCCTGCTGTGTCTGGAGAGAAAGGAAAAGAAAGAAAGGAAAACAAAAACAAAACAAAAGGAACCCCTCCCGAAACTTCCCCCCCCCAGTTAAGCAAGAGACTGAGAGGCTCCGATGAGAGCCCGGGGCCGTGGCCGCTCTCTACCCGCAGCCGGCGGGCGCAGGAGGAGCAGTGGAGGAGGAGGAGGCGGCGGCGCTGCTGGCAGCACGGAGAGGAGCCATGTCAAGATAAAGCCACGAAGCCGCGGAGCCCCCCCATCCCTGCCGCAGGGGACACGGTGACCGGGCCGCCCGCTCTGCCGCCGCTCGGCCCCGACCTGGTCCCCATAGTCTAGCTCAGCGCCCCGGGGCCGGGGAGTGGGGAAATCGTGGCGGAGAGCGGAAGAGGAGAAGAGGAAGAGGCGAAGGCGGCGGTGGAACGAGGAGGAGGATGCGGTCCCTGCGCTAGCGGCTCCTACGGAGGAGGGCGACGGGCATAGAAATCCCGGAGCGGCGTTGGAGGAGTACGGGTACGGCCGGGAAGAGGATGGAAGGGCTGAGGAAAGCAGCTCTTCGCCCAGGCGTCCTCGGAGGCGACGGCAGGAACGGACGGGAGGCTGCGGAAGCGCCTGCGCCTCGGCAAAGAGCGAGCGCCAAGCGAAGCTGCGCTGCCACCACCGACCCCTCAAAATGGCAGCGCCTTAGTCACACAGGCGCCGCCCTGACCGCTCTGCCGGCGCGTACCAAGCGCCTGCGTCTCTGGGGGGGGGGCGCTATCTTATGCTCCCGGCAGGAGGGTTCAGCCACCGTAGCAACCGACAAGCCTTGTCGGAAGAGGCAGAGAAGAGAGTACAACAGCGGCGTTGAGCATCTCCGAGCCGTCACCACACCAGGAATCTGGGTCGTACTTCCATGCTCTTCCCTCTCCCCCCGTCACGCCTCGTGTAACTGCCCGTGGGACAAGTACCCGGATGGGGCTGCCTAACGCCGTTGTCGGAGGGGGAGGCCAGGGCAGGGCAGGGAGGCAAAGAGGGAGGGAAGGAACACCGCCTTCCCCCCCCGCCCCGAGGTGGTATCGGCTTGGGGCAGCTCCTCTTCCTTCATCTCCGACAAATGACTGTTCCCGAAATTCCCCCTGTCCCAAATTCCGTCACCTTAAGGGAATACCTAAATTTGTTTCAGCCTTAAGCGTGGTGATATTATGGGTAAATAAGTCTTGTAGTGGCACATCTTGTGTAATTTAATCCGTCGCACGCATGCAAAGTAAAACTGTAAGTAAAACAAATATAAAAGTCCAACGAAGCTGAAGTATTCGAAACTGAAATGGCAATGGGCTCATCCCCAGCACTGATCTTGCCCACGCACAGCCCAGCCCGTGTGTGACGGTCCATGTTTCTCTGTGGTGGATGTAGCGCTTCCCAAGGAAGCTGGTTAGGGTTTATAAATAAGTAATTGCTGTTCCACAGACGCAAACCCAATCCTTTGAGAGAATTAAGCATTTTTATTTCTGCACTACAAGGACAGCCTGGAATGGAAGCGATGGAAGCGAAGCAAGGACACAAATTGCTGTGACCTATGTTCTCCCTGTCGGAAGGCCCAGGGCAAGCAGGGAGAACTGCCATCTCAGCACTGGGCCTGAGTGCCTGCTGGCCCACCCTTCATGCCTTCCTTCAGGCGTGCCAGGGAAAGCCTCGCTGTCCAACATTACCCAGACTGGAGGCGCCGGGGAGCCAAAGGGGTGGTGACTTGCTGGTATGTGGCTGCAGTGAGGCGCGGGCTGCCAAGGTGGGTGAAGGCATCTCCCCCCCCTTTCCCTGGAAGCTGGTGCCTGTGAGTCACTGGAATAGCAACGATATTACAAAGATTACGGGCAGAAGACAAGTGCGGGCACTGTTCTCTCTCATTTGATTGTGTTTCAAAGCCCATGCGGCATTGGTGATGGCACTCTTCAGTAACTCCAACAGATTTCAGTCTTTGTTCCCCCAGTCTCTGCTCTTACTTGTCTCTGCTGGTTCCCCTTGTTCTCTCCTGACCTTCTTATTAGTTATTTCCCTATAGCACACCTTTCCTTTACACACCTCCCCTGCAACACCTTTCTCTTGCCCATCTTGTAGGCAGCAGCTGCGTTTCAGTCCTTGGACCTTATTGTCTTTCCCCTGGCATTAGTCAGGCCCTCTGATGTGAACACTCTGTCTTGTCTTCCCTGACACGGGCATTGCCCACAACATTCCTCTGTTGTTTGAACAAGAACAGAGTAGAAACAGATCATTTTTACCTACTTACAGATTGCTTTTCGCTCCTAATGGCAATGCCTATTGAAAATAATCCTTTATTTGGAGGTAAAAAAGCAGGGCAGCTAAATAGGAAGATTACATTAGCTCTGCACTGTTTGGGCTATTTCAAAATGCCAGAGTTTTTTAACTATAACATCAGTCTGTCCTTAACAAGAGCTGCGTTTAGATAACTGCTTTTCCAGCCAGTTTTTTCCAGTTTTGTTTTCCACACTGCCCCGTACGACATTTTGTGCTGCAGTCTTATGCCCACTGCTATTTTAAGCCGTGACTCACACTTGGCCTGTGACCCTCTTTGTGCCGGCACAGCGGATGCAAAGAAAGCTCGGCACAGCAGTGCTGCTTGACGTGGGGATTGCCCCAGCACAGAAAGCCCTCAGAGGGAACTGGCACCTTGCCTGCCTGCGGAGGAGAAAGGAAGGAGTTTTCTTCCAGCCCAGTAACTCCAGCTGCCCTTTCGAGTGCAGGGATGCAGTCACAAGGGATCAGGCAGCTGCCCAGCCCCAGGTTGAAGAATGCATCCAAAAAATTTTGTCAAATGTAGTGCTGGCAGGAGAACAGTTTTTCTTCTGGAGGACTTTCTAGAAGAGCTATGAGGAGAGGAATATGTATACTTAGAATATATATATATATGCATATATATATATAGAGAGAGAGAGGAAACAGGAGATCAAGTACAAAATATTACGTGTTAAGCAGCCACCAGCTGTCTTCTGCAAACTCAGGCTGCTCAAATCCTTCCACAACCTTTCAGAAGGGGATGACGAGTGGAAATCACTGCAGGTTCCTTCTGTAAAGATTGCTTCTCCTCCTAATATAGTCAACTACCTCTCTTACCAAGCTCAGTAAAGATTTTTTTTTTGCTCATTGGCTGTTAAAGGTATCCTGACAATGTTTACATAAATGAGTACTTCAACCAACCCAAGTATGTTTATTATACATATATGTGCAGAAATATTTGCCATTAAAGCAATGAGTAATAGCTGAGTCTTGTCCTACTTTTATATAGTTGTGCTTCTTTTCCTCCATCACACACAATGATGAAGCTCATATGATAGAAAAATATCATCATTTCTATTTAAACATATTAAGTAACATCTTGTACTGAATGGAGAGCTAAGGCTTAGCAAAATAAATATTTGTATGCTATTGATCCATAATTCTCTTGACTAGATAACTGTATATTATTGTTATGCTTCTGACTTGGTTATGCAATGTTGTAGCATTTATAAGACAAGCTTGTGGGCCTGAAAGCTGGTGTGTATTTTGCAATTATAACACTTTGTCTAATGACAGACTGCCTCTCTTCAAATCTAATTTAATATAATATAAGATCTATTGCTAAGAAGAGAGGAATGTGCATGGTATACAGAACAAACCTGACAAGTAGGTTGTGGCAATAGATGCAAAATACGTAATAGTTCTTTTTGTTTAGGCTTCAATCCCATTAGCACAGTAAAAATAGTGTTTCTTGTGCATGTTAAATCCAGGCTGAGCAAAACAGTCAGTAGAGCGGGTCAGCTTCTGCTTGGTTAGCACAGCACAGACAAATCAGCTGGTGTCCTTGAGGCTTTCCCTCAGAGTGAGGACAGTACCATACCAAGTAGCTGCAGTCCTGTAGTCTTTGAGGAGTCAGATGCATACAGACCTTTAAGGATTTGGGTCTCAGCAGTGGGGGGTGATACTGTCCAGCTGTCATCCTGGAGAAATACAGAATCAAGCAGCATGGGCAACATTCCGTGTGAAGGTAGGAAAGACCTTGCCACAAAAATACATTCCTTGGGATAGAAAGTGAGTCATGTTTTGAGAAGCACTGCAAGTTTAGAATACGTCATTGCTGGTGTATTTTTCCTTTTCTGCTCTGAAAAACTTGCATTTTCTAGTCACCATTTTATCATTTTTTTGCTGTTTTCAGTGTAATAAAATACTTGATTACATAATAGCGTGTGGCTTTTTTTCTCTAAATTAAAAAGGATTGGTAACTTTATAGAAACATCTTTTCGGTTTGTTTTTTTTTTTTTTTTTTTTTTTTTTTTTTTTTGGGTTTGTTTTTTTTTTAATGTGTGTAATTCAGAATCTAATTCCTGTTTTCAGAATTAAATGTTTACTCATAAGTCCGTAGGCAAGACTGTACTCTAATACCTCTGCTCTTAATTTCTGGCTTAATAATTAGTTACTTCAAGATTAGTGATTTCTAGTTCATAATTAGTTTGTAAGAGATTGTAGCAAATTGGTATGGATGTTACAGACATAGGTAGGAAGAGATGAGATGGATTCTGTTATCTTTCTGTTTATACTTTCCACGCATATTGTACTGGCTGTATATGTTATAAGGAGTAACAGCCCTGAAGCTACTTGCTTCAAAAACAGTACTCTGATTAATTCAGTGCCAAATATTTATGCATCAGACAAAAATAAATTAGTATTCTTTTTAAATTTAAACAAGACAAATTAGGTGGTAATTAAAACTCTTCCATATACTTTAGAATATAATAACTAACTCTTTTCTGCCTTCAGAGTAAACATTCGTTTCTAAGGCATAACAGGAATGCTTTTGTGTAAAGAAATGTCAGTGTTTAATGCGTACACATTCCTTACATCATGTTCTGAACAACTATATAACCAATGAGAATCACAGAATCATAGAATGGTTTGGGTTGTCCACCACTGTCCACCAACTGTTGTGGTGGACAGCCATGGATAGAAGAAAATTAACTCTATCCCAGCCAAAACTAGCACACCACTGCACAGCTGTCACAGTGAATATTAAGCTTCATTCACCACTTCCCTGTGTCCCACCTTATAGTTGCGGGGTGCTTGGTCATGAAATGGGACACACGGTCTTGGAGGTATTGATCCTAAACTTCAGTTAAAGTTTACCTACTATCTTGCTGGATTTGTTACATCTTAATAATTATGTGTCTGTGTATGTATATACATACACACTTAAATATGCTTGACTATCTGTGTTCTCATTTTCTGCTTGTCCATCTTGTGCTTTCCTGACACTTAGGAGTATAACTAAAATTAACTAAAGGTTCTCAGTGCCTTTGCTGAGATGATAACTTCCACAAACAAGATATCAAATCAATTGCCACTTTTGAGTATGGTAGTTATGATTTCTTTAAGAGCTTGGCCATTTTTTTTGTGTAACAAATGCACGTCCCATCTCTAAAACTTTGCATTTATTTTAAAAATGTCTCAAATATACATTAAAAACAAGGATCCCTGCCTGTGCTTTGTACATAAATTTGTGATTCAACTTCCAGTGGACGAAGTTTTTGGTATCTGAAACACTATTGGCTCTTTTCACTGTGCTGTGTCACCTTTAACTTATGTTCTCAGTTAGTGGTGTACAAATGTATTTGTCTTTTTTAGACTGGTTTGTTCTATAAAAAACAAAAATAGTGATGTTCTGAAGTAGGTTTTGTGTTTGTCGGCAGGTGCTTGCAAGAGTAAGGGTAAAATTTGAAACAACTTGTTTTATTTGTTCAGTCTGTAAATAATATTCTATTTACTTGTAGTCAACAGATTTGGAAGTGGTTTTAGGTTATTAAATCCTAGCCTTTATAGAGAATTTTTAATTTTTAAATCTTAAAGCACTACATAAATGATGTTTTTTTCAAGGTAACTCCATTGCTGAGAAGGTTAGGACCTAACAGTGTTTAAGGGATGTCTTAGTGACTCACAAGGTTATTAACTAGGGAAAAAAATCACTAGGTGAGATGTAGATATTTCTTTTAACCTTTCACCTCCAGAGCACTAAGGATCAGTATTCACAGGACAATCTTTCATTCTAATACAAGAAAATTGTGTACTCTCTGGATATAATTAAAATGGGCTTGCATTATGAATTGTACCTAGATTGTGCTGTGCATATAATAGTTTCTTTATGCAGAGTTTCATTAGCATGCAGCCATCCATACTGATTAACCTAGTGAAAAGAAGGTAAATCTTTAATTTCTTGTCGGTAACACACTTCTATACGATGAAACACCCCAGAAACAAGAGGCTAAGGGAGGGGAAGCATGATGCCACGCTGCCATCTACTGTCACCCGGTGGATGGCTGGGAGCCCTTTCATCCCTTAAATAAATATTGAACAGAAGGGCCAAAAGAAACAGCAGCGAGGGACAGTGAGAGCCACAGGCCTTTTTTATTGATTCAGAGAGCCCAAAGCCATCTTCAGATATTCCCCAGACCTTGCTGCAGGGCTTGCACCCAGAGCAGGACTGAGAAGAGACGTTCATGTGTGTCAGAGGCTCAGCACTGCACTGGCTCTCCTGGCCCTCTCCCTGGTGGTTTTCTGCATCTCAAACAGTTATAGTCGTTGCTTACATGATATTTATGTAATAATTTAACATACACACACAAAAAAAGTTACGATGTCGTTTAGCTGCCCTTAATGTAGAAGGTAGAAATAAAGAGTCCTTAAGCACCCCAGAGAGAGATCATTATCTGCAGAGTACAATAAAGGCCTTGGCAAAAGTCACAGTGTGACTGTCAAGAAGAAATACAGTTTTGTCAGCACTTGATTCTAATAGCCAAGTCCAGACTCCCTCTGTGCAATGCTTAGGAAGTTTCCACACACTGGCATCTAAGCAAGACAGGACCTGGAGACCGGATAATGCCTCCCCACCTATTCCTATGTTCCCAGGCATGTGAAGTCATCCAAGAAGGTTTTTTTTCCAGTTATCATTTGCTATAAAAACTGATAACATTTATCAGTAGCAATGGAGTATAAAAGCTTTAAAATGTACACATTCTCTGCTACCATGAATAATCTAACAAATTGGCTGAGCTCTGTGGGAAACCTCGGGGTATTTGCTTAGGCTCACTTGAAGTGCAAATAGTCATAAGTATTCATGATAGAGAGTTTTATTTTTTATGAAACAAACAAGCTGAAATGCATTATATTGCATTCAATCTGAAGAAAAATATATTCTGCTAGCATTGGGCTGACAGATTTTTGCATGTAAAAATGCCCTAATCCCTATTTAAATCTAACCTTGGGCCACCAAAATGGGAATTATTACAATAAAGTAACTTTTTTTTGTGAGATTTTTATATAATTATACTGGTTTCTCACAATTAGGACTATGAATAACTAACTAATAATAAACTAACTAATAATAAACTCTCAGTGCTCTTTTTGAGACGGTGACAGGGTTCTTTACAACCCTTTCGAACTGAAGAAACTGAACTCAGAGACACAGTGGTTCATAAGAGGACATGTTCTTCAGATGGATAAATTGAAGGAGTGACAGCTTTGTAATAAACCTCCAGACTGTACGCCTCCAGCAAGGAACAAATTAAAAGGAAAAACAATCAGAACTGCCACATCAGAACCATATCCCATTACCTTGGCCCTTTCCTATTACCAACATTTCTAAAAACAGTTATCCCATTTCTGAACTGTAAATCCACTGGAAAACTTTCTGTGAATTAAATCTGAATCTTGAAAAGGTATTATTTGAGAAAGTTTCACTTGAAAACATAATATTTAGAAAAGTTGTATCACAGCCATAAAATACACACAGTGCATATAAATCTATGCTTGCATCTAATTTGAAAGTTTCATATGATGTTTTATTGCATTTTTATATTTCTGTATAAAAATACATAAAATTTAAAAACAGGAATGTCTTTATGTTGTGTTTATGTACACATTACCTGTATCCAGATTTTTCTGAAAGGAGATTTAATGCTGGTAAGATTTTATGCATATATTTAACTAGAGTTTAGCATATCTGCTAGTATTTTGAAATATGGAAATTTCAAATTTTCTTCCAGAATCCACAAGAATTTAACTAACTTAGGAGCCTGAGCTTTTTTTTAGTACTGTAACAGAAAAATATTAATTTAGATAGACATTCTGTATGTGTTATTTTCATTTTCTTGATAGAAGACAAAGCTAACTGAGGTGACAGCTTGCCGAGGACACTATTTATTCAAGATAGTAGGAACAAACCTGACAAAAACTGCCGAAGGGCATTATGGAATTGGGTAGCACATGAATAAAGCAATGAAATTCAATGTAAACAAACAAAGAATATATCAAAGCATAAGAAAAAGAATCTTAATTTCACATATCAAATGACAGACTTTGAACTGACCATCACTCAAGAACAGGATCTCAGAGTTATGGCAGATTTTTCCACAAGAGTGCGGCCCAGTGTTCAGCAGTATTTAAAAAGGCAAATCAAATGGCATACAGTTCACAAAAGAGCAGGAAGATGGAACAGCTTTCATGAAAGGGATATGTAAGTAGACCTGGGAGAGAGAACTGGAGGGCAGACTGTGTAATTGTGGCCTAGATAAGGACAGATTGTTTGTTGTCTCTTCCAGTCCAAGGACAGGGGACATTAAGGGCCAATACAGGAATCAGGTTCAAAGAGAAAAAAAAAAATTGAAAGAGAAAAAAAAAAAAAGGAAGGTGTTCTTCAGACACTGGTTATTTGAGCTCTAGAAGTACTTGCCAAAGGATATTGTGGACAATGCAAATTTAAATGGGTCAATGGGAGACTACACAAGTTTATGAAAGAGAGATCAGCTTTATTTCCTTATTCTTGTTTAAAGATTTCCTAATGCATAATTTTTTATGTTCTGCTTTTCATCTTTCATCGTGCTTAATACATTTTGATAAGTACCATACAGTTTATTTCCAAACAGAAGATTAACAGTGTGACATGCTAAGTAAATACTTCCCTCTGAAATTATCCTAATTTCTAACAGCTCCATCATATTGCTTGGGAAAAATGTTGATAGCTGCTCTACAAGACCTTGATCACAAGGAAAGTCCTAACTCTACAAATGTTTACTCAGGAGTTAGCAAAAGATACTATTAACATAAATAAAAGATAAATGTGCAAATACTTGCAGGAACATAAGTGTCAAGTGGCCTCTAACAAAGTTAACGGCATACTTCAGGCATAATTAATAAAAGCTGTAGCCTGTATCATGTATAAAATTATTACTGTGTATCAGGCATGGCGGCTTAACACTCTTAAATTTTCTTCCCCGGTTTTGCAGATTGTGCTGTGTTTAGATTGTGATGACAATAAAGCGGAGAGGTGATTAAATTTGCTTTGGTACAACTTCTTTATTAAAAAAAAACAAAGAGAAAACAACCCAACGAAAATCCAAACGACCACGAACTGCTCAGCGTTCCCCCTCCCGACCCTCACGGCCCTCAGCCCCCGTCACGGCCCGCGGGGCGGGGCTCCGCCGGCGGAGCGGGGGGAGTGTGGCCCGTGATTGGCTCGGAAAGCGGCCGGAGGCTCACGTGACCTCGGCGCTCCTTATAGGGGAGGGCCGGGCGCGCGAAGAGTGCTAGGGGTGGGAGCGCGCGCTTGGGCGTCTGTGCGGGAGCGGCCGCCGGTGAGCGGGATGGACGGAGCGAGGGAGGGAGGGAGGGAAACGGCGGTGGTGGGCGCTGGGATGGGATCGGGAGACGAGTGGGAGGGAGGGAGGGACAGGGCTCTCCGTCTTGCTTGAGCCGCGGGGGCGGGGGGAGCGGGCGCTCGGGCTTTCACGGCCGCATTTGGGTGTTGGCGCGCTCCTGCCTGGCTGCTCCCATTGGCCGCGGCGGCGCGCGCGGAGGGAGGGGTGGTGCGCGCCCCGCTGGCGGGAGCGGGACGGGGGGGGGGGACGACGGGACGGGACAGGGATGTCTCGTGTGTCCCCCGTGTCCCCCCTCCCGGTCGTTTTGGGAGTGCGACTGGGCCTGCCCCCGCCAACCCTGCGGGAAGGCCCGTCCACGAGGGGTCATGTGGCAGCGCCGGTAACAGCGATGTGGGGCGCTGCCTTCCCAGCTCGTATCTCGGTGAGGAACTCCAGGAGAGGCTCCAGAGGCTGTAGAAGAGCCTCGTCACCACGACTGACTACATAATGCTGCCATAAAAGCTGATAAACCGAAATTGTAATGTTCTGTAACTAGTGTCCCCCGAACTTCGGTTGCAGCCGAATGTTATATTATTTTTTTTACCTCTTTTTGTTGTTTTGCAGTTGATCCTATGCATTCCAAAATGAAACAGAAACTGCCTGCAGAAAAATCATCAGAATCTCTGCAGGTATGGGCTTTAAGGCCTTGAAGCTAGTACCTGCTATCTGATGCAAGCTTTATATCCACCGAAGAAATACAAAGCAATCTGTTGCAATGTGCTTCCACCTGACTTATGTTTAGTTGGCTTGAGTAGTCTCCTGGCCGTCTGTGTGGCTTGGGAACATGCTGTCCTTCTTGGGCATATGTGCTTATGACTACTTTTTTTCCTGTTGCTCAGCAAGTCCTTTTTACTTTGACACTGAACTTACTGTCTCTCCATGTGATTTTTCCCGGGTTTATTTGGTGCTGGCTATGTGCCTTTGCCTACTGAATCTGTCTGGCTGGTGAGGGGTTGTAGAGTAGGTTCTCTAGTCTGTCCTTTATAGGGATGAACTCAGAAAGAGTTAAATCTCTCTTGACTTGAGCATGCTTTAGCTGAAGTATTCAAGCAGGCAGATTGGTTTCTAAAGTCACCCTCCTGAATCGTGGTTACCTTGGAATTCGTGGAAATGCTTACAAGATTTAAGATTTTGAGGGTTGAGTGATAAGTTACTAAAGTTTGTACCTATTCTTGTGTAAGCCTTTTAACGTAGGCCCTAATCAGAATTGTACAAATACAATGTGTAATAGAGGCTAGTAGTCCTCATGTCAGGAGGCATATTGATTGTAATGAAAACCTCTGGTATTAATGAAAATTGCCAATTGATAAGTCTGACTTACACACACAGCAGTCTTGTCCCGTAGCGTCTCTACTGTGTAAATTCTTCGGTGTGGCTTTTTGCACTTTCAATGGGTTAACTCCAGAATTGGTCAATAACTTCTTGGCAGAGTGTACTTAACTAACCTTCAATAGCAGCGAGTGCTGTCTGACACACAGTGTGATTCTTGTTCCCACAGCAGTTAATGTTTGTCCTTGAGTTGAACAGTAGGATAATTGGTGGCAGAAACTACCGTGGGAAAGGCGAACTTGTGTCATACGAAGTGCGGTGTGAATCGTAACTTTCTCACGCTGGTGTGGCATTGTGTTCTGGCTACTCTTGCTTGGTTGTCTGCCATTGTTTGCTATCCCATGGTGGCAGTGTAACCAACCCAATCAGAAAGCCTTAATGCAGGAAAGAAGTATTTATGCATGATAGGAGGGGTGATAATCATACTGTTTAGACAAAACAATAGTCTGGATCAAAGCAGGGAAACTTTTGATCCATTTTAATGGATAATCAAAGTAACACAGCTATTGAAGTGAGCACCACTTGATGGTGTGTTCTCGGGTAACAAAATCGGTTACTGCCTGAAGTGATGTGTGTAACTTCACCACCTAAACATGCAATTGCAGTCACTTTTGTCTCTGTCCCCAAAAGTCTAATGCTGCTGCTCTCAAATGCAAGTTTCAGAGTTTTAGCTGAAGTTCAACACTGTAACTGGCCTTCAAATACAGTCAGAATATTTCTGCTGTAAGACCTGTTCAAGTTCTGTTATGAAGGGTGTTTTTATAAGAGGCAGGGACTGAACATTGCTTCATGAGATTAAGATCTCTCTCTGCTACAAATAACTAGATCCCCTTATTTACAAAAGCATTAACATAGACCAGAGTGTCATATCTTTGTCTTGAAAAGAATACCCATGGGTTATCATAATGGAAGTATGAGTAATTCCTAATTTTCAGTTTATGTAAAGAGGAATGGCAACTGCCTGAACCATATTTGTCTTTTTAGAAATACCTCACAGATACCACATGCACTGCTTCCCCAAGACGGACTCTTAAAATGATTCAGCCTTCAGCAGCAGGTAGCCTGGTTGGCAGATACAATGAGGTATGAACTAAAAGATAATCTGTAGATGTGTAATTATTTTGACCCATAGTGAAATACTTTTTTCCTTTTTTCAGTTTTTAGCTGAAAAATATCTGAAAAAGTGTAATCTGCTAACTAGTGTGGCACAGCTTAAGCTTTCTATTATTTTAGTAATAAATTATATTAAAAACTAGCAACTTCCCAGTACTTTGGGAAAATTTCTGAGGCATTTATTTTGTTAAATCTATCGATATCAAGGAGCATGTTGGTAAACTAGACCTATAACGTGAAGAAAGCAGGACTTGTAGAGACTTATTTGCAGTCATGATTGAGCAGACTTAGAAGTTTGTATTTCTATAAAAGCTGAAATGTTGCTCTGAAACTAAACCTGCCTGTGTTTTATACAGAAGAAATCTTCAGTCAAAAGGAAACTCTGGAATAACAAGTTTGCCTCAAAGGCTTGTAATGCTGAGGTGTCTGTGGACAAGGAGCAAGAAAATGAGGATGGTGTCATTCAAGCTGTAGATCTCATGATGAAAGGTATGTAGTAACTTCTGAAACATTTTCTTGCACTTTAAGTGCTATGCTGCTGTTGGAGTACAATTGAAACAGTTTCTTTGTCATTTAGATAAGAGCTTTTTGGCTTTTTGTAATGCCTAGCAGGAATTGATGATACTTATCCTCTGTAGTATAATAAAGTTAAGATATCTAATATTTGAGTTTATGGCAACCACTAGCTGAGAACCATTGTATGCAGCAGTATTAAGAAGTCTTGTAGTTTGTTACCTTGGCTGGGCTATAAGCTTTCAAGTGACTAATAATTAAGTTGAAATGAAGGCCTGTTCTGGCACAGTGTGCTGTGTGTGCAGTTTCTCAGAACCATTATGCCCAGCATGGACATAGACTTGGGAATAAGACTTCTGTCTCCCACAAAGTACACAGTTAGACCAACATTTGCAAATCTTGCAGAGCCTGCTGCCATGCTTGAGGCAGCTTTGTGAAGGCACTGTCTGTATAGCCATTAATGCAGTGTAGCATCTGTTTCCTGTAAGTTTATGTAATTAGTTGGAGTTTTACAGCTAAGATCTGAAAATGCTATATGGAGTGAGTTCTTAGTATCACAGCTCATAGGATACTTGTGTGTGTTAGATATTGTCAGGTGTTCTCAAGAATTTCAGTCTTAGCACAGACTTACTGTAGCCTGTTACTTCAGGAAGTCCTTCACCTCAGTATTGGAAAGAAGTGGCTGAAGAAAGGAGGAAGGCTCTGTATGAAGTGCTTCAAGAAAATGAAAAGGTAGCTTCTGAAAGATAACTACTTCACTACTGGCTATTGTCTTCCTCTTCTAACATTTTGTTATTTGAACCAGTTGCACAAAGAAATCGAACAGAAGGATGGTGAAATTGCCCGCCTAAAAGAAGAAAATGAAGAACTCATGTCCCTTGCTGAACATGTGCATTACATGACCAGTGTGATTGAGGTACTTAAAGCAATTTTCAGTTAATGTTGTAGAATGAAAAAGTGAAAGACCAGCAAAGGTTTTTATAATGAATCATGACTTCTGTTTTGTGTGCTCATGTGACTCTTCATTTTAAATTGCTGCCTGACCTGTTTCTTGCAGGATTGCTCTAATTCTAGAGGCATAAAGTTCCATCTAGGGGATGAGTTTTTCCCACTTTAGAACCTACAGGAGTAATGGCAAAGTACTAAGACTAATGCTTTCTGAAGGGGGGATTCAATCTACTTTTAACAGCATTTGCATATTGGAGATGGTGACAAGGGAAGGAAGGGTTCATCTTCACTTTTTTGAGATGACTTAAATATACTTTTATATATATATATAAAATATACTTAGTAGGTTGTGTGAGACTGCTGGCTAAATGAAGTGCCTGTATGTACTGTATCCTTTAAGGAACTGAACTTGAAACAGGAACACAAAGTAGAGCAGTGAGAGGGAGAAAGGAACACTATGTTCTTTAAAGTCAAGGTTTCACTGAGGCATTGCCAGTTTTATGGCCCAAAAAAGGCTATGCATAAAGTCTGTAAGGTTCTTAAATGTGTAAATCTCGAGTTCCTTCTGAGAATTCCTTGGGGGTAGGTAGTTGTGTCACTAATTCCATGGCTCCTCTATCAGGAATGGATTCTCTGTAACAGCCTCTGAAGCTGTAATAAATATATAGATAACTTGAACATCAAGGTTCCATGGCTATCAGCTAGCTTATTTTTGCAGGGTTGCAGCTCTCGACTGGGATGTAAAGCTAGGCAAATATTTTGATTCTGTGATGACTAGACTGGGGAGGTGGAAACAAAATGAAATATTATTGAAAGCAACTTGATTAATCAAGAAGTAAACTTCATCAAATTAATTTGCAATTAATGCAGTTATTTAGATCAGCCTTGAAAGACTGCTTATTTGCTACACTTGAATTTTTTTTCTATTCAGGGAGTACTGCTTGTTAGTGATAAACCTATGGGCTGAAATTACATTACTTGAAGACTTGAACTAATGTAATTAGAAACTTCTGTACAGTTCTTCAACAGCTAAGTTCACTTCTGAGCTTCAAAAATGACCTGTAAAAGTCCAGTTTATCTTCCTTAGATCAGGTTGGGTGAGGAACTTTTAGTTTGAAGTACTACAAACTGCTGAGTCTTATAGTTCATCTAGTCTTAATGTAGCTTTATTATCACTGATTAAAAATTATGGAGTTAATTGGTTGTACAGTAATTTTTTCTGAAATTAAACCTATATGGTACTATAGTAAATATTTAACTTGGGAAGCAGCTTCCCATATTTTAGGTTGCCTAAGGTAACCCATCCTACTGAAGAACCTAAGAAAAACTTAACAGTCAACAAAGCAAATGTGGTCTGCAAGTTAGAGGTAGTAATTTGAGTTGAAATTGTATGAAGATTTTTGTAAGTGACGAGTGTTTTTAATTATATCAACAACCTCCAAATGAAAGTGATTAGCTTGCTTAATTCAGTATGCAGAGTCTTATTTCACTGGTTATTAAGTAGAAAAAGTATTAAGTTCACTGTCCTCTGTTTCTTTGTAGAGGCTAACTGGTCAAGGACCTGAGAATCTTGAGACACTGGAGAATCTGACTCTGGAGGAATCTAGACGAAAAAATGAAGAGCATAACTGTGGAGATGAGGAAGGGCTGTCACAAGTATCATCTGGCTTAGGGGAGAATAGATCAGATCTTGCTTCAAAGGAAGAAAACCATTTGCAACTGGAATGACAGCTTTTAAATAGGCTTATGTATGTGGCTTTTAATTGCAGACTTCCTCTTAAAAGGATATACTACACCTTCTCAGGTATAGACACTCTTGTGGAAGTGTTACAGATGTTGGTATTTTTAACTGGCAGTATGTGGCAGTGGGAGTATCTGGATGCTGCATGGAAAACTTACTACAGGCTGCACGTAGTTACTTGTGTGAAATGCACATACTGTGAATTTCAACTGTTGTGTAAATACCTTATCTGACATAATTCATGAACATTGATAAATAAATCTTTGCCTTACCAAAACAGCCTCTTAATTGAGTGGGGAATGGCCTGTAGATGGAAACTTTCAAGTTTTTTAGGGAGTGCCTGGGTGGTTTTTAACTCTTTAGATTTGCAGAATTCTGGAGAACAGAGTGACTGTTGGTGGATGGGGGGGAAACAAAAACTTGTATGCTTTTTTGGTGAGGCTTCAGAAAGACAAGAATGAGTACTAAGAGTCAAAATTTCAAGTTTAGTTAGATTTATGCTTTTCAGGTGTCTTAAAGAATTTCCTCTGCCTTTTAAGGGAGCCTTTTGCAAGTTGTAGAGATGAAAGCTTCAGTAGAAAGTATTAGACCATCTCTTTTACTAATACATTCATTGGCTTATAAAGAGAAGGTAAAGTGTTCTTGATCACAGTAGCAGCTGTGCTGAAAATTAGGTAGAGACAAAGCAGCCTAAACTTGAGAGGTATGGTGGAAGCAAAGTCAGTGCCTGATATTTACCCAGAGATGAGACACCTTATTACCAAGGTAGTTAGGTTCTGAAGAATTTACATGAATAAAAAGCAGTCTTTAAAATCTTGAGCACCTTATCTGGCACCTGTATGGGGTGTGGCTGGAGAGTAAGTTGGATACAGGTTTTCCAATTGCAGTTGTTCTGTAACAAGGTCTTCTAAGGATATGGTGGACATTGCCATAGCTTGAGAGGGGCTTAAAGTTGAGTGGCTTTCAGGAGGCAGAGAGGGATCCTGGTTGGTGGATCTATCTGGCCTTGCCAAAGATGGTTGCTTCAGGGTATGTATGAATGAGTCTTTGGAGCTATCAGATTGGCACCTTTGGGTTCCTTCTGTCTTGCTCCCTGTGGCTGATTGTAACAACAGATATTTTGCAACTGATTTCAGTTGTGACATCCAGGGAATGTCAGAACCATTGTAGGAAGTAATATTCCTTTCTGGCTTCCATTTCACCTCAAGTATGGTAACTAGAAAATGAGGCATCATGTTTTCTTAGGAACTTGGTAAATGAAAGATTGCACCTTCCAGTTTGTGCTCTAGAGGGTCCTTAGACATATTCGTTTCCATCACAGATCAGAAAAGATGATAAAGGTGTGTCCTTTATGTTTTCTTTAAGAAAAACAACTGAATGCTTGGTAATTGCTTTGTAGAGAACCCTGGGTTGTCTCTTCAAGAGAAATGGATAATACTTGTAAAGTGACTTAGACCTCTCCTGTCTCAGATTCTAAGCAACCTCCTTGACAAAGTAGTTCAACAGTAGTAAATAAGGAAACATAAATTTTGTCTTGATATAATTGTTTTTATGCAGTTCAATTTAGTTTAGGTTGTTCACAGTTAAGTGTAATTTTTTTCAGAGGTGGCTTTATTTTTAAACATCAGGGATATTGCGTTTGCAGAGACTGTAGAAAGGAAGGAAGCACTGTGGCATAACTAGCAGGCCAGGCAGACCAATACAACAGAGACAGCAAGTGCAACTCTTCCACTATCTCACCTCTTGCTCTGTGAATTGCTATAATACAGGTGCTTTTGTTGGAACACAGAACTGCCAGAAAACAACTAATCCAGAATTTGTGTGCAGTATGTGTATCTGTCTTATCTTCAGGTTGCTCAAGAAGAACGCTTATTAGGTTTAAATCTTGTGCTTTTTCTGGATTGATTTTATTTAAGTAACAAACAAGACAGTCCCTTGAGAAGCTGGAACCTTACTTCTGTTGTAAGGAATAAATCATGGGAGTTCTTCAAGTAGGCTTATGGATTTATTGCAGCATTTGGTCCACCTGCAATAGAATAACTTCTTACATCTAAAAGGCATGTACCATTCGGTAATACATCCTAGTGCTTCAAACCAAGACTACTAGGGTTTTATTAAATGTAACTTGTTAGCAGAGAGAATAGTTTGCTGTATAAACTCCTGAAAAAAACCATGCTGCAGGAGAAGGCTAAGCAGGAGAGCCAAACTGTGCCATAGTAATAAACCCCATATATGTGCTTTGTCTTTGTCACAAACCTTGATGAAACACCGTCTATGCCTATCATATCAGTTATAGTAATGTATGAAAGTGGTGTCAGAAGTTTTATGATACTGCATTAATTGCTGTTTAAAAATGTTCTAAAAGGGTCAAGTTTTGTTTATTGTTCTAAAAAGTCCGGAGCGCTTTTTAAACATGCAAGCAGTAGCATTGTTACATAGTAAGTCTAGGAATTCTGTATTCACGTGTGAAAGGCATGTCAACTGTGTAAAAATTATACAGAGATTTGTGTGATTAGTTCTCTTACAACTATTTGACATTTTGTTTGTAGGGAAACTCTCATTTACCACTGCAACATAGCTATGTAACAGCTGAAAATCAACATCACTAAAGACAGATTTCATATCCAGCTGAATTACAGAGAATGTTCTATCTAGCACAATAAAGTTATCAGTTCTAGAACCTAACTGCAGAATGTGATTCTTTCTGAGAAGTCATAATGCTTTTGTACACCAGTGTTTAATCAGCATGCTGACTCCTTTTCATTGCAGAGGATACAGACACAATCTTCTCTTTCATTGAAGTATCCTAAGGCTGCATCTACTACGTCCTAGCACTTCTCCTATAAAATGTGCAAGTCCAAACAGGACAATTTCAGACATGGAAGAGTAAAGTGTGGGGAGATGGGCTGTTTGCAGGTGTCAGATGTTTCAAGAAGGAACAGCTGTGCAGGGACTAGTAGGGGCAAGCAAACCATGGGGTGGGTGGATGGTTTATGTGAGGAAGAATTCATAATTGGTTTTGCAAAAATAACAATTTTATTGTAAACACCTATTGTAGTGAAGACATCGTGTGGAGAAGTGAATTAGACCATAACTGCTTGGCTGAGCAGCTGAAACTCGGTGTATGGCACTGGATTGCTTATGTGAGTGCCTGCAGCATTGCTGCGTGTTGAGCCTCTGCATAAGTAATGAAGTTGGTCATCTTTTTTTTTTTCCCAAGGAAACATGATGCATATTCATTTACTTTTCCTCAAAGGCCATCTCAGGTTGGTCTCAGAACTGGATTTGAGCAGAAGATGTGCAAATCTGCCAAGGCCATGTGTTTCCTGTGCTCCCACTGTTATTAAGACTATTGTATTACCATCAGCATTTTCTTCAGCAGAAAATGTTTATTGTGTGTTATTTCTCTTTCCATTCTTATCACAAAGTAGTTCAGCAAATGACAATGGTATTCTGAGGAACCTTGGTTTGCTGCTGTTTGTTGATCTGCCAGCAACTGCCTGTAATGAAATGTGACTGGGCCATGTTCAAGGTCAAACCCTTGGGTGTGAAAGTACCCCTATCATACCCCCAGGGGCACCACAGCCATTTGAAGTGGGGTGCTGCAGATCCTATCCTCAGGATAATTCCATTGCAAATCAGCAAAGCAGAGAGCCATACACAGTCTGGCAGTTCTATTGACTCCTAATTTTCAATGCTTAAAGTCAGCATTAATCTGTACATAATGGGCTGCAGGATAGGGTCAAGCTATAGAGGATACCTTTTTCTGAAGGTATAGCGGGCACAGGAGGAATCTTGCCAAAATCAGTGTGAAACTGTGCAGCCTAACTTATGCTGCTGCTGTAGCTAGAGCAGTATAGAGGTACTATGGGTTTCTATATACTGGGCAAAATGCAGAGAGACAGTGAGAACACGGCAGGGGTAGTGAAAACCACTGTAGCTCACGAAAAGCATCAGGTGAGGATAAGCAACCACCAGGTAAGCCCCTTTCCCAAGTGTGCTTCTGGCGAGCTCCCCATCTCTTCCATCTGCACTGAGCTACTTTGGTACAGGAACGTTTTCCTAACGTACTTTTCTGGGGTGGCCCAAACCTTTTAAGTTTGTTTGAGTCAACCTGCTGCAGCCCTAAGAAAAAGGTTTGGTAATTACTGCCTGCTGGTTCCTTCTTTGCTAGTAGGTAAGCATCCGTCTTGTGACAATCACCTCTATGCATCTGATTTTTCCTACTCCGCAAAGGAGAGCTCTTGCATTAATGTGCTAGAAAAAGGCAGCGTTGTCAGCTCTGTGAGCATAAAAACATACATGTTATTAGACAAATACATGGTTTGTTCCTTTTTATTTGCCTTCAGGTTTTGGAAGTTTTAAGGTCTGTTAACTTTCTGAAGGTTGTAATGAATCATGTTAGAAGATGATAGTTTTATTTAGTTTTCTAAAACAGTATTAATGCTCAAAGTGAAATTTAGCCTCTATGCATCTGTATCCCAGGTTCAACCTTGTCCTACTAAAATTCCTGTGGATTCCCTTACTGACTTTATTGAGAGCAGGATTTTCTCCTTCCTATCTGGTTCTTAGGAGCTATATCCATGGTTTTTAATAGTCATAACGGTGTAGGATATCAGCTTTAGGCTAATGAACTTCCCTGAGGGTGGCTTTAAACCACAATGAAATGAGATATAAACTCCTTTTGGCATGGTACCTCTATATGTGAGCTGCCCCATGCTCTCTGCAGCTTTGGCTCTGTGCTCCATTTGCAGTTCTGCATTCCCTGAGGTGTGTGCCGTAAACCTCGATGTTTGTAAGAGGAAAAGGAACGTCTTCTGTCAGAGGAGAGTCTGTCTTCACAAAAGGGAAGAGTAATCAGCAGAAGTTTGGTAATAAACCTCTTCAGCATATTTTCTGCTAGACCCTGTGGAGCCTTTTTTGATAAGTATCTTGAATGCTCTGAACCTAAACTATGAGTGTGACAGTGGAGAGGCTGCTTATGGAAAGAGTGACTATACATATGGACTGATGTGCTTAGTAATTAAAAAATAATCTTTATTATAACTTAAATGTGATAGGAAATATGGTGAGTACAAATGCCACAAAACTAAAAGAAAAAAAAATTAAAAAAAAAAAAGCAGAAGTTGATACAAAAAGACATGTTGAAGGGATTCAACTGGTGGGACAAGTGTGATATAAAAACCATAACATGGCTATTTAACCTTCTGCAAAAAGAGTTTATATCGCTCAGTAAACAAGTAAGCATTTTGCACTGTACAAAATGTACTTCTTTAA